TGAATCTCAAGGCATACAGACAGAACAGTGCAGACAGCTGACTTTTAGCACAGGAAGCGTTACCTTTCTTCACTTGTTATTTCCATTAGCTACTTTGGCTTTGCCTGCCACAGTCTTCCTGCAAAAGTAACAGTTGCATCAAGAAATAGTTCTGCACAAGTGACAAGTATAAAGTTAGCCCACAAGTGGACCTGGTCCTCCTTTTTCCATTCCAATACCTCGCAGGCAGAAAATGTAATTGCTTCAAGGAAGTATTTGAGCGTTCCTTGACATTACAGCTATGTTTGGACTTTATGCACACCAAGTGCATTCTCGGAACTGGCCAATTTGTAGTACGGAAGCATTTTTCTCTTATATAGCTAGTTATGAAAGTTGGAGCCACAGAAGGCCAATGTCAGAAACAAGAAAAGTACGGTAGTCTCTCTCCTGCTTTAATTTTGCTTCAGAAATCTTACAGAGGGCTTCCGGGTTTAAAACTAACATTTTATTTAAAGAGACACTTTCAAGACAAAAAGCATTAATATTTTTAGAAGCCATCCTATATGTTACTAGCATTAGCAAAGATTATAGTGAAAGGATTTTTAAAGCTTTACTTTACTCTTCACCATTTCCCTATGGGGATGAGCATAATATAAAAAACCCCTATTGGTTCATACCTTTTATCCATTTTGCACTTCACTCAGCTTGGACAATGAAATTAAAACTAGCCAATATTACTTTTGTTTCGTGGGTTACACATTCAAATTCCCATGTGCTACCACAGTGCTGTTGGATTGGGTTTCCAAGACTGCATGGGAATGTTTAAATCCTGACAGGTTTCAGAGTAGCAGCCGTGTTAGTCTGTATCCGCAAAAAGAACAGGAGTACTTGTGGCACCTTCATAGATTCATAGATTATAGGACTGGAAGGGACCTCGAGAGGTCATCGAGTCCAGTCCCCTGCCCGCATGGCAGGACCAAATACTGTCTAGACCATCCCTGATAGACATTTATCTAACCTACTCTTCAATATCTCCAGAGACGGAGATTCCACAACGTCCCTAGGCAATTTGTTCCAGTGTTTAGAGACTAACAAATTTATTAGAGCATAAGCTTTCGTGGACTACTATGTGGATGCATCTGAAGAAGTGGGCTGTAGTCCACGAAAGCTTATGCTCTAATAAATTTGTTAGTCTCTAAGGTGCCACAAGTACTCCTGTTCTTTTTAAATCCTGAGATATCTGCTTTCATTTAAAGGTGGTTATTAATTATTTTAAAATTGAGAATGTTCCTATATCTACAGTACATTTTAAAAAGCAACTTAACTTTTGAATTCAAGCGACCAGTACTTGACAGTGTCCCTCTGAACACAAAATGTATTCTTATCTTGGGGTCATGCAATAGGTCAAACGTCCTGTCTCAGATAGACCCACACAGCGTACAACTGCTTGTACTTTACGCTTTTTCCCCACACATTGTAATTCCAAGCCAATATCTACTGACTGGAAAGTAAACCCCATAATTTAAAAGTCAGCTCTTTCTACTTTCAGCTCCAGCACTGAAGCGAGGATCTCACCTTGCAACAAAGTGGTGGCCAGCAGCAAGAAGCTCCAGGATGCCCGATGGGATTAAAGCCTGTTTTCAAATACGGCTCACAGTTTATTCATGGCAGGAAGTACTTTTTACTCTGGGAACTGCAGATGGCTGAGTTAGATGGGGAGAACTGTACTATTCCTTCACGAGACATCAACACTAGCTGACTTAACTGTGCCCATTTCATACAGGTGAGCAAAAACACTGCTATGGGTGAGACTATTGTAGGACGTACAGTAAAAGCAGCAATGATTTCAAATTTAGAACAGGAAAGAGCAAGTTTAGAAGTAGACAAAGGGGCAGGTAAAATATGATGCTTTTTAGATACACAATAGGCATGTTTTAGAAGATTCCAGAGGGTTTATTTATATAGTGCTTCGAACAGTGCTGCTTTACCAGACAGATAGTTTAGACAATTTCCTGCCCAGAGAAGCTTAATCTATATTGATTCAGGCTGTTTTCAGAGTAGGAGGCAACATGAAAAAAAGGCACAGAGTTAAGAATGGGACTGGGAACAAAGATTACAGATAAAGGACTGGGCCGAATTCTGGGCCAGGAGGGACAGTAGGAGGAAAAACTGAGTTGAGATGTGGGTAGCTATTGAGCAGTGCAGAGCCTTAAAGCAAAGGATGAATAATTTTACTCTTGTGGAAAGTAGGAGGGAGCCAATGAAGGGATCTGAAAATGGGAATGAAACACGTGGGCAGAGTGGAGGAGAAGGCTTTTAAATTGTACCATTTTGTACAGGTTAGAGGCAGGGAGCAGTAGATGGCATTGGTTACAGTGGAAGTGAGAGAAAACCAATGCACACTCACAGTTTTAGCAATGGGGACAGAGAAAAGGACAAGCCCTAAGAGATACACTATAGTTCAGTCAGATGTTATAGGGACCAATGAAGGAATTGCCAGGTGAATTTCTATGGCTTGTGTTATGCAGTGGTCAGATTAGACGATTGTTAAAGCCAGGAGGGACCATTAAAGTCTATTAATCAATTATTTCAAAGCCATAAGAAACGGTCCAAAGCCATGAAGCCTGCATAAAAACCACAAGGCAACCCAGAACAAACAACTGACCTCATTGTGCCCTGGTACTGAAAGATCATTTGCTCTTCCTAAGTCCTTTGCAAAACATCCAGCAGGGAAGAACGGACTGAAAACACAACCTTGGTCCACACTAGCTCAGTGGAGTCAGCACTTTGCAGACCACAGTGCAAATGCTTGGGGCTTAGTTGAAAAGTAAATGCTGAAGAGGTGGCAATGTAGAGTCGGAGACTGATTGGGAAAGGGCAGGCCCCTCACAGAGAATGAACGAGGAGTGTGAGAAGTATGATGCTGTGTCACCACAGTAGCAACCTTCCCATAGGAGGAAAAAAAAAATCGAGATACACTCTCTCCTAGAACTGGAAGGGACCTTGAAAAGTCATTGAGTCCAGCCCCCTGCCTTCACTAGCAGGACCA